CCGAAGATGCATCTAATGATTCTAAAATTTCCTCACTAGTTTCGGGTTTAGTTTGGGTTTCTTGATCTCGATTACTGATTATTAATACAAAATCATTTATTGAGAAAACAACGCGTATTTTACCGGATTTTGAACTCTGGCGACGTCTTCTCGTTGATCACAATCGCCGCCTCTCTGCTTCGCGGTTACAGTTGTCTGATTCTTTTCAATTAGATTATTAAACATCTACTACTAATATTAAATCGCTCGCGAACTGAATCAACTTTCTATAATAAGTCTAATAAATTATTTTTCTTGTCGGCACAATTACGGCACACATTGTTAGACAAACTGTCCAGATAACAGATTCAATAAATTTTTACATGCACTTGTTTTTGTTGATACATTAAACAGCTTTCGGCGCTTACTTGGGTCCGAGCTTGGGTCAGTTATTTCGTTTCCACACTCGGTGCAAACTGTTTCATTCGAGGACAGAGAAATATCAATTCTTGGGAATATTTTTGTGTTTTCGTAGACCAGTTGACGGCGCGGTGAAGTAATTGTATGAAATGTACACATCCCTTTCTATGCCCCTTTTATGTCAAAATTATTCGCGCCAAAATTTTTAATGTGATTTAAATTCCTGCAAGGGACACAAGTCGACCACTCGCGACTTCGTCGCTCGGGTCGCGTGTTCCCTTCCCCGCGCCCTCCCTCCCCCATGGTCGACTTGTGGCAAGTCTAGCCTGAAACCATGTCTAGGAAATGTGATGTTTGTGACAAGGTATTTTCACAGAGAAGCTCTTTATTAAAACATAAAAGAACACACAATGAAGAGAAACCTTATAAATGTGATGTTTGTAACAAAAGATTTTTACGATCAGGCCACTTAGCAGTTCATAAGAGAACACACACTGGAGAGAAACCTTATGGATGTGATGTTTGCAACAAGAGATTTTCCCACTCAAGCACCTTAGTTACACATGAAAGAACGCACACTGGAGACAAACCTTATGAATGTGATGTTTGCAACAAGAGATTTTTGCAGTCAAGCAACTTAGCAGTTCATAAGAGAACACACACTGGACTGACTGGAGAGAAACCTTATGAATGTGATGTTTGCAACAAAAGATTTTTGCAGTCTGGCACCTTAGCTACCCATAAAAGAACACACACTGGAGACAAACC